AAGGCCACCGCCCGCCTCGAGGCCGTCGGCTTCGACCAGGGCTCCATCATCATCGAGGCACCACCACCCTACAATTTGCCATACGTCATAAATGACATTTTACTGACGTCATCCTCGTGTGCGTGTGTGTGGTGTGTGTGGTGTGTGTCGCGCGCGTGTGTGTGTGTGTTGCAGCCGTACCTGGATTTGAGGTACGAGGGAACGGACACGATTCTGCGCACCAAGCAGCCGGCAGTCGGAAGCGAGTTCGAGGGCGACTACGAGGGCGCCTTCAAGGCCGAGTACCAGCGCGAGTACGGGTTCACCATTAAGGAGCGCGCCGTCGTTGTCGATAACATCCGCGTCCGCGCCATCGGCGTCACCGCCAACGTCAAGCGCATCCCCAAGCTCAAGCTTGACGCCCCCTTCTCCGAGAGAAAGTACCCTCCACAGCGCTGCCCCACATGTACCACGCACCCACTCACTGTGTGTCGTGTCGTTGGTCGTGTCGTGTCGTTGGTCGTGTCGTTGGTCGTGTCGTGTCGTGTCGTTGGTCGTGTCGTTGGTCGTGTCGTGTCGTGTCGTGTCGTGTCGTGTCGTGTCGTGTCGTGTCAGGGTGGAGTACACGACGTGCTATTTCGAGGGCGGCGGGTGAAGACGCCGGTCTACCAGCTCTCAGATCTGGGCGCCGACGACATCGTCGTAGGTCCGGCGATCATCATCGACAAGACGAGCACGATCGTGATCGAGCCCCTGTGCAAGGCCAAGATCACCAACTGGGGCGACATCTCCATCGAGGTCCAGTCGGCCCGCAAGGCCTCCATCGGGTACACACCGCACACGCATCACCGCACACATACACTCGCACCACCGCACGCACACATACCACCGCACACACGGACCGCACACACCGCACATGGTGACGTCATCAAATCGCATGCCGTGCAGGACGGATTTGGATCCGATCCAGCTGTCGCTGTTCAGCAACCGGTTCATGAGCATCGCCGAGCAGATGGGCAAGACGCTCCAGCGCACCTCCATCTCGACCAACATCAAGG